CTTTTTTATTCTTTTCTATTTTCTCCCCTTTTCCTTTGTGTTCTTGTCAAGCCACTTATCCACTTCTACTCTTTTCCCCACTTCTATTTCTCTCTCTTCGTTTTTATTTTCCCTGCTTTATCTTCGTCTTTCTTCTCGTGTAGGTTTCTTTTCCCTCTTCTTCCTTTACAGTTTTCTTTCTCCCCTTTTTCTCCATTATTTTTCTTTTTTTCTACTTCCTTTTCCTTTCCTTACTCCCTTCTAAATTAGTTTTTCTATTTCTTTCCTGTTTGTCTTTTTATTCCCTTTCCCATTTACGACTTTACACTTATTTTCCTTTTCCCTTTTCTCTTATTTATCCTCTTCTCCCTCGTTTCTTTTTTTATCTTCACTTTCCCGCCTTTTTCTTCTACTCATATTTCCTTCTTTTCTTCCATTCTCTTCTTCGCTCATACTTTTCTTATTCACTTTGAAAATGGCGACCAGCACAAAAAGAAGAAATGTCTGAATAAAATAATTTATAAATATTACACTTATTCCTCCGAAGTCTAACATATCTCTCGACATCCTCTCCTGATGAGGTGAACGGGGCACAATTGATTCCTGGAATGTTGTTTTCGAAGTTGACCTCGAAGGTATGGAGAAAAAGTCTTTTGAGAGAGATATGTCAGTTATTCGCCCCCTAGTAACAGAAGCTATCACCAAATGTCAAGAAGGTCATGTGTATCAGCTTCTACCGGTGGTAGACAAACGAGACAGCAGCAAAACGTGGCTAATGGGATTGGTTTCGCTAAAACGATGGCAGGGATTGGAAATAAAATCAATTTCGAAACAAACAAATTCATGGTAAAAACTCCTTAAAAATTGGGTTGTACGTGTCTTGTAACTCATTAAGTTTTTTTTTGTATATAAAAAAGCACATATACTTCAAGCAATACTTGTTTGTATTTGAGTTTAGCATTTCTAGGAAGGATTTTAACAGCGGACGGAAAGTGCGACACTGAAACCCGAATGTGTATTGGGATAGCCAAGAAAGTATTCTAAAAGCTAAGCAGAGTATTAAGAAATAGAAAAAACTTCGTTAGAAACAAGAGAGGACTAAACTGTTACGTTATATTTGTCCTCCTCTATGGCAGTGAGTGCTGGACGCTCTTCTCAAAGATGAAAAAGAGACTTGAAGCAAGAGAAATGTGGTTCTACAGAAGGATGCTAAGGATACCTGGGATCAAACATGTGAGCAATGGCGAAGTTTTAGAGACAATGGAAACAAAACGTATGCTTAACACCAGGAAGAAACAGTTGAATTTATTAGGACACATAATGAAGAAAGAGGGTTCGGAAAATTTGATACCTACAGGACAGACTGTAGGGAAGAGGAATAGAGGAAAACAATGCATAAATACTGAGTTTGAATAAATGGACGGTGGAACGGGGTTTAGAAGAAATAACAGAAAGCCAAAGTTTATTAGGAGCTACAAAAACCAGGAAGTTGTAGAGGGCCATGGTCAGCGATGTCCTGAAGAAATTAAACATTTTATTGCTTTGATTTTTTATAGTCCATCACCTGAACCTAAACTCAACGGTCTGAATAGGAATAGAGTTTTCACTATGTACATTATTCGGACTATTGTCCTCATCTTTGTCGCCATATTTATTACAACACTCTGGCCTTCTTCAGGTGGTTGGCATGTCGAAATGAACCCTTTATTTCGCTCCCTGGGGTAGACTGTTCTATTTCCTCGTACCATGTTTAATAGATGTCAGTTATCAGTTATCTCCTGTTAATTCCCCTCTCCAAGTTATCTACTGCCTTAAGCGGGTATTGAACTCACACTCTTTGGGTTCTGTTACTGGATCTAACCAACACCTTTATCCACTGTGCCATGTGGTCATAGCGTACAATGGCCGAAACGTTGTAATAAATATGGCGGCAAAGATAAGGACAATAGTCCGAATAATGTAAATAGTGATCATAATACCTCATCACAGAAATATAGACAGATACTGAAGGGCCGAAACGTTGTAATAAATATGACTACAATGATGAGGACAATAGTCCGAATAATGTAAATAGTGTACATAATACCACATCTCAGATATATAGACAGATACTGAATAGAGATTTATTCCTTGTTTTCTGTTTAGGATTAGGTTTCTGGTTCCTTCTGGACTCTTTCAATTCTGTTTTACTTCCTTTACCCCCCGCCCCTACACCCCCTTGCGTCTTAGTAACATTATCGCCTTCCTCGGAGTAAATTGATTAAAAGAACAGCCAGTATTTACTTACATATCTATAAGTCAGAACGTTCGCTTTCCGATCATGAGAATTGGGTTTGTAGCTTATCATGGTCGATTTGTTAGCAACGGACCTTCTTCATGTTATCAGCCTGGGGAGATGACCCATCCACTGGTAGCTTTTGGAACGTAGTATCGTGGGAACGTGTGGTAGAAAACCAAATCACGGATTGTCCTAAGCCTTGTGAGAGGAATTGGGTCAATGGATCTGTTTTGAAGACGCCGTTGAGCACGAAGTCACAAGTCATCGTAACCGAGGGTTTTAGTGAACTGATGTTGTTCAAATTGCTGATCACGCCAGATTATGTGCTCTCTCCAAGAAACTATAAATACGCTCGCCTCCGCATAGTTGCAGTATAAATCACGAGTGATCTTTATATGTTTTGAGCAATCAGAAATGTGCCTGAGCAGATGTCTGCAACAGGGATTATCTATTCGCCCTAGAAGACAGGTGTACTCGCAAAACGTGTAGCCCGACATTATCAGTTATAACTGCCAAAACTCGTTCTTGAGACCCTGCCTTTCACAACATTTTTATATTATTGTTCACCCAATACGAGACACAAAATCCACTCAAGGCAAAGGGTCATTTGATGGGATTGTTTTACGGGTGTAAGGGAGAATGAATGAAGAAGAAGAGCGTATTATATATAGGATAATGGTTGGCACATGACTTGAAGACGTTAAGATTGTAATGGTCGGGAAGAATCCTCTAGGTAAGACTCCCATAGAGCAATAGCTCTGGGCAAGAAACTGTCCGAATGGAAATTCCTTCTCATCAAAGGAACATAAGGGGGAATTAGGATGATATAACGCCGTGTACACGGCATGGTGGAGGATTCTAGCCGTGAAGGTCTGAACTTGTGGAGCTAAGGAATCTAACACATTAGCCATCGTAATAACGAAACATCAGTAGGAGGGGGGCTAACAACGTTTCGCCTTTGAGAAGAGAGGGGTTGATCTGTCTGCTAAGAGTATATTAGAGACAGACATCACCGACGGCATAAATAAGACATTTATAAATAAAGATTTGGGACGGGGGGAGTACCATCCGGGTTCCATATTAGCTATTAAAAATTAATTTGCATCCAATTATCTTGTTGTTATTAAGACACGAGCGACACACGCTATGAAGATTGAACATAGCCTAACTTGAGTCCATCCAAAGATGTCTACACACTTCAGGAAAGGAAAAACTTGTGATAACTCTGTTTACTGTAGTATGATATTTTTTCGACAGATGGCATTATATTGGCGGCCCTTAGACAAGAAATTGAAAAATGCATGTGCAGCAACCCCACTGGCCACGTTTGTCAACGTTGTCCAATCATAAAAGCAATGGTTAATAGTTCAACATTTTGCAGGATGCTGAAACTAGGAGATTCGTTTATAGTGTTGGATCGAGTCTGTCAGATTATACACTGGTGTCACTTTTTAGGATTGCCACTAAGGACCAATAAAATAGAATACATGACACTTGAACTACTTAACACTTTGTTGTTATGGACGATTTAAAACTTTCTTATCATTAGCCACGTTCAATGAACTATGGCACTCCCAATTTTATGAGTATCAATTTTGGCATATAATTACTATGCTTGATCACGTGATCATAGTCAACCAATCAGGCTGCATTTTAAACAAATTGCAATTTAAGACAGCACCTCAACAATTTTTTTTAATAAAACAGAAATGATTCTCCAAATCCAGTTAGATGCGGGTCATGGAATAGCAAAACGTCTCTTAATCTCGGTGTAATTTTTGAAAATCAGAGAACTGTGAAATCGGTAAATATTTTTAAAGACTCCATTTGGATTTTCAAATTCTTTTCCCGATATTTTACCTTTTGGTATATATATATATATATATATATATATATATATATATATATATATATATATATATAAAATAATAAGAAAGAACAGTAAGATTCACAATCCGGTGTTCTTAATAATTATTTTTATTTAAAAAAAAAATTGACGATACAAAACAGTAGAGCATTAGTATTTACTATTTTAAAAATAATAGCGATAGGACTATATTATTAAAATAGTAAATAATTGTAATATATATATATATATATATATATATATATATATACTTTTTTTTATATATATATATATATATGTGAGCCTTATTATATATATATATATATATATATATATATATATATATATATATATATATGTAGATATATATTGTGTGTGTATTTAGGCAACAATTTTTCATTGATGCATGTTTCATTAAATAATATAGACAAGTTTTGTCTATTTATTTTAAGTAAGTTCCTTTCATATCGTCTGATAAGCTTAATAACATTACCATTGAAAGATGAAAGAAAATCACCATATTGATATATGTTTTTATACTATCTAAGCTTTCGGCTTACATAAGCCATTAACAAGAAAGGACAATTACATTTCAATATATCAAACAATACACGGACGAAACAATAATGATAGTCTGTTTTTGTTGTCTGCGAACTTACGCTTAAATTTAGCCATTTAAACTATAAAATAAGTCCTTCCCGCGAATCTAGTACTGGGCTTAAATTCGTGAAGTCGAAGTACCAAAGAGGAAAGCTCATCAGAATAATTACCATGAATATATGTATGGAAAAGGTAGAGGAGAGGTAAGTTATGGTAGTGGGAAAGTGATTTAAGCCAAGATACCAGGTTAAGACAAATAACATTGCATTATAGCTATATATCTATCTATCTATCTAGCTAGATAGATAGATATGAAGAGACAGAGATAGATAGATAAATAAATTGAGAGATAGATATGAATCTACTGAGACAGAAAGATAGGTAGGTAGATAGATATGAACCTATTGAGATAGAGAGATAGATAGATAGATATGAACCTATTGAGATAGATTGATTGATAGATAGATAGATAGATAGAGAGATAAATAGATACGGACCTACTGAGATAGACAGATATGAACCTACTGAGATAGATAGATAGATAGATAGATAGATAGATAGATAGATAGATAGATATGAACCTAGTAAGATAGATTGATTGATAGATAGATAGATATGAACCTACTGAGATAGATAGATATGAATCTAAGAGACAGATAGATAGATAGATAGATAGATAGATAGATAGATAGATAGATATGAACCTACTGAGATATATTACTATGAACCTACCGACATAGATTGATATATATGAACAGATTGAGATAGATAGATAGATAGATAGATTCTTCTTTGTATTTTATCAAAAATCTCTCAATCTCCAATCCAGGCTTTAATCTAATCATTTGTTGTTTCCCGATTTTAAACATTTACTTTGAGTTTGTGTTGATCAAATTCTCTCGTTTCTTTTTATGAATTCCTATTTTTGCGAAAGAAAAGAAATGTTTCATACCATTTTCAATTTTGTTACAATGTCAGCGTTTTCTTTCTCGCTCGATTCCCAATTCGACTTTCAAGTGTATTGTGATCGGTGATTGTTCGCCGTGAAGTCATACCTGTAATTACTTCTGTAATTAACGCCATAATGACAATTGGTGATTTAATTGCCTTTAAAATTACTTTCTTCTGAATTTACCTTAACATAGATGCACAGGGAATTACGGTAATTTCGCTTCCACCGTCTTTAAAAATCTTTTTTAGGGTTGATTTTAAGCAGATTAAAAAAAAAAAAGCAAAGAAAGAAAGAAAGAAAAATAGAAAGAAATGAATGAAATTAGAGGGAAAAATTAAAAATGAAGACAATAGAAAAGAAATGTGTGGGAGGTAAATAGGGAGCGTCTGGTCGATAGTTGCAGGGGAAAACTTATGGGAAAAAATATATATATATATATATATATATATATATATATATATATAGATAGATAGATAGATATGAACTGAGATAGATAGATATGAAAAGACTGAGATAGATAGATAGATAGATAGATAGATAGATAGATAGATAGATACATACATACATAGATAAACGGCTGATGAACAGACTGCGAAAGATAGATAATAGATAGATAGATATGAACTAAGATAGATATGAAAAGACTGAGAGAGAGAGAGAGATACATAGATAAACGGCTGATGAACAGACTGAGATAGATAGATAGATAGATAGATAGATATTAACAGAGATAGATAGATATGGACAGACTGATATATATATATATATATATATATATATATATATATATATAGATAGACAGATAGATAGATGGATATGAACAGACTGAGATAGATAGATAATAGATAGATAGATAGATATGAATAAACTGAGATATGGACAGAGTGAGATAGATAGATATATAGATAGATAGATATGAACAAACTGAGATAGATAGGTAGATATGGACAGACTAAGATAGATAGATAGATAGATAGATATGAACAGACTGAGATAAATAGATAGATAGATAGATAGATAGATAGATAGATAGATAGATAGATATGAACAGACTGAGATAGATAGATAGATAGATAGATAGATAGATAGATAGATAGATAGATATGGACAGACTGGGATAGATGGATAGATAGAGAAATAGACAGACAGACAGATGGATATAAACAGACTGAGATACCAGATAATAAAATATCTTCTTAAAATAAGTGTAATCTCATAGACATAGACATACTGTCCGATACAAAAAAAAAAACAACAACATCTAAGCAAACTAAATTGATGAACTTTGAAAATATAAGGATCTGGAAAGCTGCAAGGTGACAAATAAATAAGAGACTTGGTTTTACAAAAGGATGCTGGGAAATTGATTGAACACGTGAGCAATGACGGGGTTTTAGAGAAAATAGAAATAAAAAGGCGGTTTAGAAAATTTGAGACTCACATGACATATTGAAGTCAAGAGTGACAGAGGAAAACAGCGAATGACCCCCTGCCCTCACCCCAATGGTTGAAAAAGAAACAGAAGAAGAAGAAGAAGAAAAAAAAAAGAAAGAAAAAAAGATGATAAAGAATAAGAAGTAAAAGAAGAAGCATAAGGAGAAAAAGAATCAGAAGAAGAAGAAAAAGAAAAAAGAAGAAAAAAGATGAAGGAGATGATGAAAAAGTAGAGAAGAAAAAGAAGAAACAAGAAAATAAGAAGAACAACAACAAAAAGAAGAAAAGGAAGAGGAACAACAACAAAAAGAAGAAAAGGAAAAAAGAACAAAAACAACAAGAAGAACAAAAAAAGAAGAAAAAAGAAAAAGAAGAAGAAGAAGAAAAAGAAAGAAGAAGAAAAAAGGAAGAAGAAGAAAAAGAAGAAGAAGAAAAAGAAAGAAGAAGAAAAAAGGAAGAAGAAGAAAAAGAAGAAGAAGAAAAAAGAAGAAGAATATAAGATGAAGAACAAATAGAAGTAGAAACGAAGAAAAAGAAGAAGAAAAAAGGAAGAAGAAGAAGAAAAAGAAAAAAGATGATGAAGAACAAATAGAAGAAGAATCGAAGAAGAAGAAGAAGAAAAATGGAAGAAGAAGAAGAAAAAGAAGAAAAAAATAAGAAAAAATAAGAAGATGAAGAACAAATAGAAGAAGAAACGAAGAAAAAGAAGAAGAAAAAGAAGAAGAAGAAGAAGAAAAAGAAGAAAAAGAAAAAAATAAGAATAGAAAAAGAAAAGAAGTAGAATCTGCCACAAGTATTTGTCCAACAATAAACAGAACTCTAGGAATATTTAACAAGAATAATTTTGCCTACATTAAGAAATTCAATTTGAAGAACATTTTTACTATTTGAAATAAAAAAAGTAGTTCTCATGAGAAACGTTTAAAAATTCTTAAAAATTATCTATTATAAACCCTCCTTGGTTTCAGGAAAGACTTGGTAAATAGTTGCATCAAAGAACAAATGAAGAAAACTCAAAAAAAATAATAAAAATAATAATGTGTTCACCCGAAATGCAGATTCTTTGAAACAAATCCAGAAACAATTGACCTTCTTGTATCAAGTTGCACGGTATTAACACCGTACTATATTAAACTCGGCCTGACAGAGTAGGTCAATATCTGTACTGGAAAAATATGTAGGAAATTGCATGAAACTGGTATGAATATCACCCAGGCCCGGCTATAGAAAATAGGACCTGTGACAATTTTATGGGTCTTTACAATACACACAGACGGAACAATCAATTCTAATGGTCCTGACACCATGATGAAAGACCACAAAAACAGAATGTGCCTTCTTACTGACATGGCAATCCTGTAGATTGTAATGTATCTTTGAAGATGTTTAAAAAACTATCAAAATACAATTATCTTGGAATTGAAATCTAAAAAAGTGGCAATAATTCCAGTTGTAGCCGGAGCCCTCGGATTAATTGGAAAAAGGTTCTGATAGACTTATTGAAGGGATTCCTAGCAGTCCATTCTTTAAAGAAATACAAAATATTGTACTCATAAGTACAGCTTATACATTAGGAAGGGCTTCATCTATGTAAAATGTGTGTGATATTAGGTTTTTTTTGTGCGTGTGGGTGGGAGTGCAAAAATGATCAGTGGAAAAGGTCATGGAGACATTTCTGAGCTGAGGTCTCTGGTTGGGACCCGGAAAGAAATGAAAGAAATTAATTATAATAACGAGGAAGATTGTGTTGAGGAAGAGTGTTGTGATAAAAGCAATAATAATAATAATAATAATAATAATCATTATCATCATCATTATCATCGGAAAGAAAGAAAGAAACAGATAACTTCCTCAAGGATAATCTATTGGCAGTGGCTCTCAGGAGTTCCAGCATTGCCACGACCAACCACTCTTTGATGTTGCCTGACTTACTTTTGCATTGCCGTCGCCGCTTCTGCCCACCTTGCATGATGCCGTGTGACGTGGCCAAACCATAACATCTTCCGACGTTTGATAGTGACAAGGAGAGATTCTTGCGGGCAAAGAGACTTGCTCCGTATATAGTCGTAGGTTTTGTGCTGCTAGTAGGAGATGCGGGGGTGACTTTTCAAGCATTTCTTCTCGAATTCTTGGATCCTTTTGCCTGCCTTAACTAAGTGTGTCCAAGTCTAACACTCGTTAGAGGAATATGAATACGACCCCCGATTTGTAGATCTTGAATTTGGTTTGAAACCTTCCATATCTTTTCCAATCTGGCCATCGCCGCTGTTGTCGTGGCGCTCCGTGTGCTGATTTTTGCGTTCAGGGTTGCTTTCAAGTATTCGAAACTGGACACTTCCTGCAGTTGCTCGCCGTCCATGGTGACTCTGGCACTGGTGTTGCTTGTGATATTCACAATTTCTCTGTGTTGGGTTCCATTCTATACATGCCAGATCTTCCAACGAGTTTGTTGGTCAGGTCTAGCATCTCATTGTTACCGCCCGCCATCAGGTCAATATCGTCTGTGAAACGCAGGTTGCAGACAGGTTTGCCGCCGATAGAGATAGAAATTTTGTGGTCGCTGAGCGTATCTTATATAATTCTCTCTAGAAACAGGTTGAAGAGTGTTGGAAAGAATAGACATCCCTGTCTAACACCGAGATTCGTCTGAGAGAAGTCCCTGACTTGGTTACTTAAGAGAACTGCACTGGTCATATAATAACATGGAGTAAAACTGGTGATAATTTTGAAAATAGTTGATTGGTTTTAATTATCTACCACGAAATATGTTCGTTAAAACGTCTCCTTTTAACAAGATAATACTATTCCAATTATTCTACGAATTAAACAGACTAATGTCATCCCTTTTGAGGTCAAATTTAAATAAAGAATTACAATAGAAAGTATGTAAAATGAAACAATCGGCATACATGTCTGCAAAAAAAAAATTGAATTGTAAAATGAAGCCAACTGTGGAATCAAACTCTAAAAGAAGAATAGTACTTAATTAGATTTGGCTCGGATTGAAGAATCGGAGGTATTAATCCTTTTTTCTCCCCCCCCCTCTCCAGCTATGGGTAAATAACAGGACAGACCGGATTCTATAGCCCTGGATGGCAACTGGTCTACTGCAGAAAGAAATGGCAACCTACTGCTGGAAAAAATATGCTTCGTCAGTCATGTATCGAAAGATGAAGCGTGTAGCACGCGTGGCACATAACTGACTGATCTTCAAATACAAATCTCAATTCTATGTTAATATTTACGCAAAGAAGCTTCTAAAATTGACATAAAATGCCAAGGATATTAAAAAGAATATCAATGATCAGGAATTGATTTTTGATATTTGGAATTAATTTATTCGTATTTTATTTTTGGCTAGTATCGTTGATATTTTTATCAATGAAATATCCTTGCCATTAATTTTTATCAATGAAATATCCTTGCCATTAATTTTTGTCAATAAAATATCCTTGCCATTAATTTTATCAATGAAATATCCTTGTCATTAATTGCAACACTGCATCTGAAATGAGACGAAAAATAATCAACATTGAACAATACATGAAGTGAATGAATTCTACCACTAGAGACGCCATAATGGCAACCGGTTGTCAAAAAAAATATTTGGTTATATGAAAAATTATGAATACATTTTTTCAATATGAAAAACTAGAATATTTTTGTATTATTGTTGGTCGAAATATTTCGTGTTTATCGTTGATATTTGTCATTAGGTTCGAGAGCTTGCGGCTCGGATTTATAAAACTTATAAACTAGCAAATGCAACAGAACATTAGGAGAGACGATGCAAAATAGGCAGGGGTAAAGAACATCTCACCCTAGACGTTGTAATAACAATATCAAAGACGCAAAAAGTTTGTTATTTTATTTTATGTCTTTCCAGAATCAGTGTTTAATGTTGCGCCGTTATTGTCTGACATTTTTATCTCTCTACTTCTTCTGGTTTGTATTAAAGATTAAATTAAAATTAACTGTTTTAATTTAATTTTGAAGAAGCCGAAGCTAAAAAAGAAAAAAAAAATACAATAGACATACTCTTACTATTTGTATATGTATATTTATCGTATTTTTTATAGAATGAAAAAAAATACTACATTTAACAATGCGAAACACCACTGATGACATATGGGAAACGCCCACATAGCAAAGGTTGCCAAATAAAAGAAATGATATATTTACCTGAACACCTTATCATGGGATACAGACAATTAGGGAGTTTAAACTTCAATGGGTGCTCTATATTTGTGACCTTGTGTCAGAGCTTTGTAAATAAATAATATTCTATTATTCTATATACTTTGCTCACTAGTAATCATGATAATTCATTTAACACAGCACATTCGAAATCTTGGCTCCTATCAGGATCGAACAATGACCTCTGGTAAACGTGGGAAGTATATAACTACTTCATTTATAAAGTAGAAGTTTCAAATTAGTATATTTTTATATTTAAAAATTAAAATTAGTAAAAAAAAATATTAAATTAAGAAACTGTAAGTTTCTTGCAGAAACTTGCACGAATTTGTCGATAATAATTTTTCTGCAGTTGCGTTGAAAATGATATTTTAAAAAATGGTAGGTAGAATGAGAATAATTCATCACGGTCGGGTGGGGTGGGAGTTAGCGGAAGTCATGGTCACGTGGCATCGAAACAGCTGCTTGGTGAGTCAGCATTTTTTGGTTTTCTGGGTTAGTTCTTTTTTTTTTATATATCGTTTTCCATTCCTCTCCGTTTATTTGTAAATTCTAAGTATATAATATAGAATTTTAAAACATACACCCGTTCTCTGATTTCCATCAGAGATAAGCAATCAGCGACATCCGATATTTGAAAATAAATACGCCAAGAGGAAACGATACACGCAATTTGTAAACATTTATCAGGAAACTGCAAAACTACGCTATACATTTATACATGAATCGGTATAAAGTTGCGCGACGTGACCGCAAAATTGTGTACAAATTTTATCAGATGTCACGAACACTGGAATAGACCATTAATCATTAATCGAGTATCGATTCTTGATTGTAATATTATGGAGTATTTTTATTTTTCACTTTTTTTTTAAGTTTATGTAATTCTCTCCAGATCATATTTTTCGATGGTTCTCAGCAATTCTGGGTAATTTTATTCAACGTTGGGTTTTAAAGCATTATAAGCGATATGTCTCTAGGTCTTCTAATTTCTCGAAGGATAAGTTACCATCTTCATAATGCTTAAACCATTTTGGGGCCACTAGGGTCAGATATAATTTAATTTCCTGACACTTCTCGGATTCTGATTCATTAGTTCTGAAGCCCAGTTTTAAATTAACGCTTCATTACTTGCCAAAATCTGAAAACTCGTATTATAATAACTGAAGGAAAAATACGGCTTAATAATATTTGTATGGGAATAATAATAATAATAATAATAATAATAATAAGAAGAATAAGAAGAAGAAGAAGACCTCACACATTACGAAGACCTAGTTTTTTTTTATTTACAAACGATCAGTGGAATATGTCATGAAGCCATTTCTGGCCTTTGGTCTGTGGTTGGAACTCGAAAGGAAACGTGTCCACAACAAACATCAAAAGAAATAATAATAATAATGAGGAAGATTGTGTCTAGGGAGAGTGTTGGGATAAAAAGCAACAATCACCATCATCATCATCAAAAAGAAAGAAAGAAAGAAAGAAAGAGAGAAAGAAAGAGAGAAGGCATAAGAAACAAACAATCTTATTGAGGATGATCTGTTGGCGGTGGCTATCAGGAGTTCCGACATTGTCATATCTATCTACTCTTTGGTGTTGTCTGATATACAACAGAAATAAAAGAAAATAATAATAATAATAATAATAATAATAATAATAATTGTAATAACAACATCAACAGTTGAACCTACGAGATGGCTTTTGAGTATAAGAAGTCCGATATATTTGCATCACAAGAGCAGACTGTGAAAACGAATACAAGATAAAAAAAAACATACAAAAAAAGCAAATGCAGGATGTGTGGACAACCTTGTGATACAGTTAACCACATACTCGATGAATATCGCAAGTTGGCATGGAAAGAGTATAAGCAACAACATTATTGGATTGCTCGGAGAAACCATTAGGAAGTTCGCCGTGAATTCAACTTTGGTGTAGAAGAGAAATGGTATGAAGATTAGCCAGATGCAGTTGTAGAAAATGACAGACAAAAGATATTCTGGGATTTCTCGGTCCAGACAGATCATGTCACTAAAGCGCTAAGCCCCAACCTTATTGTGATAGATAAGGAAAGTATCATGTGTAAAATTATTAAGTTTGATGCTCCATATAATACAAGAGTGGACTCCAAAGCTACTGAACAGTTTGAAAAAATACCAGAATCTGGCTAAAGAGTTTAAGGATGTATGGAACATAACTGTTGAATTAATTCCTATAGTAATGGGTGAACCATAACCGTGCCCCGAGCTTACAGTGATAGAAAAAGAAAGTAGCAAGTATGAAATTATTAAGTTTGCAGTTCTATATGATAGAAGAATGGACTCCAAACAAACTGAACAGATTGAAAAATACTAGGATCTCACTTGGGAGTTGAAGAAGCTAAAAAGAGCGCTTAGGTAAAATTTGAAATTGAAAAATGTAGCATCTGAAAATTACTGTTATTGCTATAATGACTGAAGCACTGGCTATGAACAAGGAAGGGACAGAAAAGAAGATTAGGGCATTATCAATACTGTTCAGTATCAATTAACATTAGAATTTGTTAAAAAAAATACATGCCTTTACTATCTTGCCTTACTCCAGGGTTAGAATAATGACCCCGTCAGGAGTTGTATTGAACAGAAGCAAACGATGAAATGACGACAACCCAGTGGAGTTACAAATAGTTTTTACATGTCTGTCTATATCTCTGAGATGAGGTATTAGGATTACTTGCATTATTTACATTATTCGGATTATTATCACCATCTTCATTGCCATATTCACAGCATTTCGGCCGTTGTACGCTCCGGCCTTATTCAGGTGATGGGAATTTCGAACCGAACCCTTTATTTCGTCCACCGGGGCAGATTGTTCTAGTTCCATGTGCCATGCCTCTTCCGGATGTCTCAGTTATTTAATTCAACTCTCCATGGTTTTGTTCACCACTGCTGTGGCCTGGCACTGAACTCCCAAATCTTTGGGTGTAGTCGCTGGATCTAAGCAACGTCTTTATCCACTAGGTCACGTGTGTTTTTAGAGATGTTGTTGAGTTGCCGCTCTTGGCTTTAAATTACAGACGGCGAGATTTTTTGAAAGCTTTTCTTTATTATGCCGGTCACGAGAAGGACAACACGTATTGTTTGTTATTTCTCACAATACATATTCGTTGTATCGAATCACTTCAACCAAGTGTATGAATAGTTCTAAAAGTTCAAAGAGGAAGTTCATATATTGCTATGCCAAGGAAACACTGTAGTGGACAAAACAAGATCTAGATTTAAAATTCAAATGCGAAGCACTGAGTCAGTGATTCTATTAAAAATTAAAAAGACTCGAATTTACAAACTTTGCTTAACACACACGCAAAAGCAAATCCCAAATAAAACTTGATGCGAATTTTTTTTCGGTAAATAGAAAACTAGGAAGCATTTAAAAACGAAATTCAAATAATCTTCAGTTCTCAGAAACAAATTCTTTTACGGACCTTTTCGGGAGCCGACGCGAAGTGAATTCCAAAATGACCTTTTCAAGCCCCACAAACAAAATAAAAGACGGGCAAGTTCGCTTGTAACCAGAGAGAAGGAGACGAGCGTATTAACACGTCTCTTGACAAACGTCAAGCGATCGTTAATATTATCTCTACCTTTTTACCTCACCTCTTTTATACTTGATAAACGAACGGAACATTTTAAGACTGAGCGATTACTTCAAAGACATTCCTACCCTTTGATAACGCTCATACATACATACATACATCCACACATGCGTTCCTGCCTACGTACACATAAACTCATTCTTGCAAGGACTACTACGAACATTTTGATGACCTTGTATCAACCAAAATACATTAATTTTATTTGTAAAAACCTTAATTGATTTATATGTATATAAATTTGTTGTTTCAATTTACAATTTGATTTTCTTGTTATGGTAGGCTGTCTGTCTAACAAGGCCAAATCAAACCAACCTGTTTCCGTATCCATACACCTCACTATAACTGATAATCTACTATAACACTAATAATTCTGGAAACTTTTTTATCAATATACTTTAGGTGTATTTATTTTGGAGCTTGATATTCCCTCAGATTTCTTTCTTTTTTTTCATCACTTACTGTTGTTATTTTGTCCATATCAATACAATCCGTTTCATTATTTACTCTGACCCAAATGGAACTGAAAATATTATTTGAGGGGCAGTTAACTGTAAATTAAGTCAAGTACGAGCTTGTCTCACATTCAATGAATACAGTGTGGCCCACACTTGTGATTTCTAACAGAATAGATTAAGATTATTGCTTGCATAAAAGTGTCTGGACATTTCATAGGAATTCGTCTGGTCTGTGAAGAGATTAAGAAAGTTGCGGATTTCCCATCATTTAAGACAAAGGAAATCTGTGTTAAATTTAATAAATATATACAAAATGACTCTGAAAATAAAGACAGGATTTGTTTTTGTATTTTTTTTTTTTGTAATCGATTTCCTCCTAATGCAAGAGATTAAAGTCACTAAGACACAAAGTATTATTAGGCGTGGAAGAATTAGAAACAGAAACATTACTAATTAGCGAGGACAAAATGAGTAATAAAGAGTAATCGATTGATATTGCATTTAAATTTTTGAAGATTAAAGTTGGCTGGTAAACATGGAACCGGAAGTATGTTCCACAAGCGAGAAGTGCAAAAAAATGAAGCTGTCTGCATAGAATATACGATTACATTTCGCCAACTGTAAATTGATGAGATCTCGATGCCAGTCTATTACTCTGCTTATATTCTAAAAGTCTAGGTACCATAGCGAAGAATTCATCCGAATAATTACCATGAAAATATTGTTCAGTGAGTGTTAAATTTTCCAAACCCTCTTTCCTCATTATGATCCCAATATATTTCAACTATCTCTTTCTGATGCTACGCATAAGTATACTTTTTGTATCTATTTTCTCTAAAACTTTCACTCGATTATATTCCCAGCATCCTTTTTTAGAGCCACATTTCTGTTGCCTCAATTCTTTTCTTCATCTCCGATAAGATAGTCCAGAATTCACTGCTATATAGGAGGACTGATAGTAAATAACAGTTCATTACTTTTTTTTTTTTTCTAATGAAAATTTTCTGTTTCTTAATACTTAATGTTTCTTAAATGCTTAGCTTTTCGAAGGCATCTTTCGCTACCTCAATGTGTCTTCAGATTTGGTGTTGCATTTTCTACCTACTGTTAAAACATTTTCTAGACATCTGAATTTTTGTATTTGCTTCATTTTTATCTCTTCAATTTGTAACTTGCATGTTGGTCTGTTTGCTCACAACCATGCATTCTGTTGTCTTATTGTTTTGGTTAAACCTTTCTTCACATTTTATTAATCAGGAAGACAGTAGAAAGCGATTAACATTGCATTTAATTTTTTAAATATTAAAATTGGCTGAAAAGCATGGAGCCAGAAGAGAGTTCCACAAATTATGATATGGCTAACGAAAAGCTAGATCATATTAAGTTTTAACTTAATTCAGATGTTTCCTTCCAATTAAAAGAAAAAAAAAAAGCGGGTGTATAAAATAAGAAAGAAAATAAATCATATTAAATTATGACTTAGTATCAGTTCTGATGTCTCCTGCCAATTAAAAAAGTCAGAAGGGGAAAAATCAATTCACCTTTGTCAAATCAAGTTTTTCAGCAACAATATGAAACAGTAAGGTCACTTCCTAATGAAAACAAATCTGTTCCTTCGACCACTCAATCGTTTTGTTTTGTAAAATACAATGGATCCACAAAGTAATGCTTACAAAAGACATCATAAACATGAAAAAAAAAAAAAACACATTGAATCGAAAGGAGTGGTTCCTAACAGATTTCGGGCCAAGCCCCATTTTGGTATTTGTAAAATTTAGAAGTTAACGCCCTAAACATCAAGGCTATGGCCCTGTTGGACAATTCCCTATCGTGAGCCTTATTCCTTATTGCCTTTCCTCTTCCCTTCTTGCTGTTGTTTCTATTGCTGCCGTAGACTTGTTGTTTTAATCTTGACTAACTCCACGACTGATTCCTTTTCTTCCTTTATTAATGGATCTTGTAGGTATTTATCTTTAATCTAGACTTACTGATAAAGCAAGAATCAAGAAGAAAGTTCCAAACGCGAGAAGTGCGAAAGAAGAAGCTATTAGAAGAGAACTTATAGTTGCATCTAACCGTTTCAAATGTAAAATGACGAGACCTTACTGCCAATCTAGTACTGCGCTTAAATCCGTAAAGACTAGGTACCATCAGAACAATTAGCATGAAATAATTTATAGAAACGACACAGGGAAGTTACATTACAGTAGTGGGAATGTGACTGAAGTCGAGATACCAGGTCAGGACGAATATCATTGCAGATTCTGTTTCGCATTTTAATTACTATACCACCAAATTTAGAAGCTAACGCCTGAATCATCTAGGCCATGGTTCTGTTGGACAATTTCCTTATCGGGAATTTGAAGCCTTATTCCTCATCGCCTTTCTTCTTTCCGTCTTGCTTCTGCTGCTGCTGCTGTTATTGCTGCTGCTGTAGACTTACTGTTTTACTCCCGACTAAGTCCTCTGGTGATTCATTTTCTTT